ATGGGATTGAGAACCCCACCTTAGACACCAGATTCCTGATGCTATTCATGGTTTCTCAGAATGGCAACCCAGCTACCCCAATATTGAGCACGCAGTTCTACAGCAGGTCAGAAACTTTTGCCAGGGTGGCTGTGACATGACCTGGTCTTCCCTGTCCCCACAACAAGTTCTACCAACCAAGCAGCCAGTTGTTACTCAATCCCTCTGCAGCAAGGCCCAATGCTCTGCTGTGGAAGGGATGGGTAGTACAGGTCTGTGACACCCCCTGCCCCATGCCAAATTGGGCTTCTGCAGGCCAGATTCATCTGACAGGTTGCTGACCCCCAATCTAAAAGCAGGGAATGGGAAATATGAGCAGAGAAGGGAATGTCTGAAATCCTACCCTTCTCTTGAACTTAAAACACTTGGATCACATCCATCCCCTTGGGATTCAACAAATGAGAGTCTTCCAACAGTAGGCATCTATTTATTCTGCCAAACAAGGGAGAAGGGCCAACTCTAAAACCATAGTCAGGAGGAAAAATACTTGTCTTTTACATAACCTAGCAGGTAAACTACTTGGGAAGCAGGAGACCCAGATTCAATTGTTCCCCTTATCACAACATGCTTCAAACACGCTTGAAGCATCTCCCAGGGAATGTCATGACCACCTAACTATCTGCTAGATGAATCCTCCACCTCCTGTTGAAAGCCCGCCACCGTGCCAAAAAGAGTTCAAGCACCGCTGGATTGAAAGAACTGCATGGCTTAGTATCAAAGGCTCTCATCTGAGAGGAGTCTAGAGTTTAACTTAGTTTCCTTTATCAGGACCTCAGTATTTTATCTAGCAACTAATATAAAAGTATATTAACAGTCCTGAGACAGGAATCCAGGATTCTCTTAGGCTAGTGCCTCAGCCAATAGGCTACCATCAGCCTTTTTCTCTCTGGCCCCATAAACCCCATCCATATTCTTTGCTGCAAATCTTCAACAATACAGGTGGCGAAGACCACACCTCCCTAGATTTGCTCTAGGCTGTGCTCACGTGGGAGGTGCAGGTTTGAACACACAAGACTTCCAAAGAGAAGTGCTTTAGGTATTGAACCCATCCAAAAATCTAATAGATTAATCTTTGGCGGTCCACATCCTTGTTAAAGAAAGTGCTTTCTTCAGGTAAAGCCATTTATAAATTGTTTTAAAATCTGAATACAAGACACTGAAGTGTTTCTGACAGTAGACTAATAGCATGTGCCCTATTACTTTCCAGGGGCAGGGTATGTGCAGACAGCTATTTCTTTTGAGCTGGAACTTCTGAAATCCCCACTCAAATTTATGTCATCTTTAAAAGAAACTGGTATTCTCCAGCCCCGCCTTTCCCCAAGGGTAACCCCATAAATATCTTCTTAGCATTTCACAGCACATTGTAGACTAGTGGTTTGATTACATGTAGTCAGGCATGTAGTAACTATTCCCTGTGGCACCTTATTTAGTATTACATGAACTCTGAACTGATAGTTGTTAATTTTGGCATACTGCAGACCAGCAGCAATCCTTTCTTATACTGAGTATAAGAGAGTTGGCTATGTATCCACAGTATGCCCCTCAGCCTAAAAGAGGTTGGGAACCCCTCCATTAGAGCACCTCTGCTGTAGCAATAACTTCCCCCCCATTCTCCCCAGGATTTTGCAGCATTCACAGGCAAGCCTGGTTTAATGGCACAAATCAGTTTTCCAAGTTTGCCAACATGGAGCTGTAGTTTACATTCAGGTCCTCCTGCCCACAGGCAAATGCACCATGGGGCCTGCACACACCCGCCTACCACAAAGGGATGCGCCTGCAGCACCTCGCTTTACAATGCCTTACAACGGGAGATAGCTAACCCAGAGCACAAGCGAGGCCAACATGGGTGGCAGGCAGGTCAGCGCAGGGACAGCACTGAGCCCACAGGGCAGACCGCAGAGCTGCAGATGGGGCAGGAAGGGGCACACGGGGCAAGCGCGGTCTGCAGCACGGCAGGGTGGCTAGGGGGCACCCCTCGCCTACTTGTGAGTGCGCCCCATGCCGCCCGCACCCTATCCCCAGGGCCCCGCGCAGCCCCTAGAGGGCGCAGCGAGCAAGAGGGGCCGGGCACCCTCCGCGGCGCCGCCCTGCGCTCAGGCCTCGACCCCGGCACCCACCTGGATCCTGCCCGGCGCCTTCTCGGCCTCAGGCGACGTGGGGGCCATACCTGCGGAGAGAAAGGAACCGCCGCGTCAGCCCCGCGGACGGAAGGGGGAACCCCCGGGACCAGCCCCAGCCCCCGAGGGGAGAAGCGGCACCTTCCAGACCCGCGCAGACCACTCCCCGCAGGGCCACCCGCGCGCTTGCTTAAGCAGCGAGGAAGCGGGCGGGCCCCGCCGCGTCACGTGACCCACCTCCAGTGTCGCACTTCCCTTGGCTGAGGCGGGAGGCGGCTTGTTTCCTTTCCGGTTGACCAATGGCAGGCCGCGCCCGCCGCGTCACATGACCCTCCTTCTGTGACTCTACTGGGGAGAGGCGGGGCTGATGTGGCGGGTCCTTTCCACGGCGACCAATCGGAGGCCGGCTGGCTCTGGGGGGGGGAGAAGAAGGGGGTGGGGGGGGGGCCGCGGGGGCAGGAGGCATGCAGAGCGCTTGGGGGTACATCGGAGGCCGCGGCTGGCACGGGAGAAGCCTCTGCCAGTGCTCGGCGCCTGGAGTGACACTAGTGATAACAACCACCCCCACCAGCACACCCACACCAGGTTGTCTCCACACAGACACATACACCCCTCCCAGGTTGTCCACACCCAGACCAGGTTGTCCACACCCACACACACTCCACCAGGTTGTCTACACACACAACCCCTTCAGGTTGTTTACACACGTGCGCACACCAGGTTGTCTACACATACACACACCAGGTGGTTGTCACACGTACACACTGTGGTTGTTTCTCCACTGGCTGAGGACAAGACCACAGCAAAGGCATAGAGATCAGCAGGCATGAAAACTCAGGCTCCATTAAATGTCCCTGGCTGCTGCAGAGCTGCGATCCCGTACGCAGAGACTGTGCTTGACCCTTCCTGTCTCCTCAGGCCTAGGCTATGTCTTTGCACTGCTGTCAATAGCCAGGGGGGGTGTTCTTTGTGTCACTGGGAGAAAATACCGGGTGCAAAGGGTTTTTAGGCTGGTGGAGGAGGGTCCTGTCTTACCCTAGAAAGTTCTGTCAGCAGGAATCCTCTGGATGTAGAGCAACCCCTGCTCCTGCACTGCCAGAGCGCAGATGCACTGGCATACCAATGCCAGGACTACAGGTCTCCATCACAAGGATTGCAGCCCACAATTCGTCAGTCTCCACCTGTGTGAATGCGGACTGTGGTAGGCATCCGGCTGTCTTTTGCAGTGTCCTCTCTGTCAGTGCCATGCGTAGACTAAATGAAAAGTATTCAGAGCAGGCTCAGGCCTGCCAGAGGGAACTGGGAATGAGTGCCATCCCCTTCCTACCATGTATTTCTCTTCTGCCACATAGGCTTTTTCTGCAGGTTTTCAAACAATTGCATAGTTTCATAGTTTCTAGGGTCGGAAGGGACCTGAGCAGATCATCTAGTCCG